AGAAGCTGAAGATGGGCTGGGCCAACTCTGAACTGCCTCTATCTTCTTCGGATCCACCTTAATTCCTTCACTAGACACTATATGTCCCAAGAATGCCACCGAACTAAGCCAGAACTCACAGTTAGAGAATTTGGAATAAAGTATCTCCTCTCTCAACCTCTGTAATACAATACCTAAGTACCGTGCATGCTCCTCCTGGATACGTGAGTACACCAGGATATAATCAATAAGCACCACGACAAATGAATCAAGATATGGCTGGAATATATTATTCATCAAGTGCATAAATGTCGTTGGGGCGTTGGTCAGCCCAAAAGACATCACAGGAAATTCATACTGACCATAACGAGTCCTGAATGTCGTCTTTAGAATATCTGAATCCTGAATTATCAACTGGTGATTGTCGGATCTCAAATCAATTTTGGAGAATACCCTCGCTCCTTGAAGCTGGTCAAATAAATCATCAATACGCGGCAAAAAATACTTGTTCTTGATTGTAACTTTGTTCAACTGCCTGTAGTCGATGCACATCCGTATAGTACCATCTTTCTTTTACACAAACAAAACTGGTGCACCCCAAGGTGACACACTAGGTCTAATAAACCCCTTATCAAGAAGTTCCTAAAACTGCTCTTTCAATTCAGCTGGTGCCATACGATACGGAGGAATTAGAATGGGCTGGGTGCCCGGCACCAAGTCAATACCGAAATCAATATCCCTGTCGGGTGGCATACCCAGCAGGTCTGTAGGAAATACATTCGAAACGTCTCGCACTATTGGTACTGAAACAATAGTAGGAGTATCTGCATCAACATCTCTCACAAAGGCCAAATATGACACACATCCCCTCCCAACCATACGTTGGGCCTTCAAATAAGAAATTACCCTGCTAGGAACATAATCTAGAGAACCTCTCCATTCGACCTCTAGCAACCCCGGCATCGCCAATGTCACAGTTTTTGCGTGATAGTCCAGAATAGCATGACATGGAGACAACCAATCCATACCTGAGATTACATCGAAATTAACCATGCTAAGCAATAAGAGATCAACTCTACTCTCCAATCCCCCAATAGTTACCACACACGACCGATACACATGGTCCATAATAATAGTATCGCACACCAGCGTAGATACACGAACAAGTGAAACTAAGGACTCATGGGGCATATCTAGATAATGAGTAAAGTACAATGATATATACGAATAAGTAAAATCAGGGTCAAATAATATAGAAGCTTTCTTGTGGCACACTGAGACAATACCTGTGATCACTGAATCTGAAGCAACAACATCTGGCCTGGCAATAAAAGCATACAATAGGGCCTGAACGCCACCTGATCGGCCTCCCCCTCTTGGGCGACCCCTATCTGACTGTGCCCCACCCCGAGCTGGTTGGGGGAGTGGTGTAACTACTGGTGTTGGTGCCATCGGCCGAGAACTCTACTGTGGAGCACCACTCAACAACCTAGGACAATCTCTCTTGATATGAACAAATTCTCTACACTTGAATCAACCCCTCCTCTAACGGAACTGCTGCTCCTGATAAGCCGAGGAATTACCAGTAGAAGACTGAGCGGACGAGGCATGGTAAGAACTCTACGCTGGTAGAGCACTGAATGAAGATTGTCTTGAGTGAGCACTGTAAGAATTGTGGCTAGCTAATGCACCATGATGAGCTAGACGATTCATCTGAGCGGGCCTATAAGAGCGACCCTTACTGTGGTAGGACTGCCCCCAGAAGGTCTCCACCAAAATCGCCCAAACCTCGAGGCCTCTTCGCCTCCTTCTCACCACGCTCATGACTATAGACCACCTCTATCTACCGAGCAATGTCAACCACCTCATCAAAAATGGCACCAGATACCCTCTCCCTAGTCATAAGCAACCGCAACTAAACATGAGGCCATCAATGAACTCATAATCCTCTCCCTATCATTGGGAACCAACCAAATTGCATGACGAGCCAACTCAATGGCGCCTATCTCAATACTAGGCAAGTCGATAACCTCAATAAAACACTAGTATCTCTTACATTTGAAATCATAATATGTAGATGTAACAGAAAATCTCATAATTGTTTTTGATACAATTACACTTCCAAAAGTTGGTGTCACTGAGTACATGAGCATCTAAATGATAACAAAGTCCGACTCATAAAAACACTATCGGAAAGTATAGAACTGTACAATGACTGAAGGGAAGGAGAGACAAGGTCTACGAACATCGGCAGCTGCCTCAAAATCTTTGAAAGATCAACTGAACAAAGAGATCAACACCCACTATATCCGGGAACCTCTGGATCTGCACACGAAGTGCAGGGTATAGTATGAGTACAACCAACTCAGTAAGTAACAATAAAAAATAAAGAACTAAAAGTAGTGACGAGCTTCACAGCTAAGACCAATTACAGTAATTTTCGACATAAGAAAGTAGACATGCTTTCAAGTTCAACAATTTAAGGCCCAAACAGTAATTTCACATCAAGTTCAATTGGAACACAATATAGTATATCTCAGAAAGTTCAAAAACAGTGATATATGACAGCTGAAGTACAATAATAATGAAATCAATGTATCCTCTCAGAGCAATAGTCACTCAATCCTCCCATTCGCTCCAACCTCACAATCACTCTACACTCGGCACTCGTACTCAATAGGTACCTGCGCTCACTGGGGTGTGTACACACTCCGGAGGGGCTCCTTCAGCCCAAGCACTATAATCCGCACGGACAATGCATGTGCTGTACGGACAACTCACGTGCTAGTATAATATCTGGATCTGCACGGATAACTCATGTGCTAGTATAATATCTGGATCCGCACGAACAACTCACGTGCTAGGATAATATCTGGATCCGCACGAATAACTCACGTGCTAGTATAATATCTGAATCCGCACAGACAACTCACATGCTAGTATAATATCTCACAATCAGGCCCTCGACCTCACTCAGTCATAAATCTCTCCAGCCTCTCGGGCTCTCAGAAATCATGAGAATCAGCCCCAACAAAAATGATATAATGCATCAATATTGAACAATAGAGACTAAGATGTAATATGCAATTAAAACTGTGACTGAATACAAAATAGCAATTTAGCAAATAATTTAACATGTACACGACCTTTATGAGTCCCTACAGTGTCAACACATGGTTTAGACATGATTTATAGTTCGATCCCTCTAATACGTGGAAAGATTTATGGATAACAACAAATTATTCAACCACACAGATCCATGGAATTGACCTAGTCACAATTCCTATAGTGCACGCCCACACGCCCTCCATCTAGCATGTGCATCACCTCAAAATCAATCATATAATACATAATTCGGGGTTTTATACCTTCAGAACCAAATTTAGAACTGTTACTTACCTCAAACCATGAAATTCTTTATTCTGCTATGCCTTTGCCTTGCGAATCGGCCTCCGAACGCCTCGAATCTAGTCACAATTAATACGATTCAGTCAATACAAATTATAGGAATTAATTCTATATGAAAATACTATTTTTTCAACAAAATCCGAAATTGTACTCAAATACGTCTCGGAACCTGACAAAATTTATAAAATATGAACGTCCATTAAACTACGAGTCCAACCATACCAAATTTACCAAATTCTGATATCAACTCGACCTTCAAATTCTCAAATCTTATTTTCAAATCCCTAGACCCAAATTCTCTAATTTTACTCAAAAATACGTAATCTAGTCGAAATACTCAATGATAATCCAATATTATTGACTAACAATGATCACAAGTGACTTACGTCAAGTTTTCCCATGCATTCACTCTGAAAACTTGCCTCAACCCGTGTTAAAAATGTCCAAAAATGAGAAACTCTCGGACCCCTCTGTTTTTATACACTGCCTAGAGGTTCAGCTTTTGCGAAATTTTTAACTACATCTGCGGTTCGGCTTTTGCGGTGAAGCTTTCGCTTCTGTGAATGCCTTCGCTTCTGCGCACCCAGGCTTGCTTCTGCGAGCTCGCACCTGTGAGATAATTTTCGCAGGTGTGGTTGCATCAGGAGGCATCATATTTTCCAGCTACGTTCTAAGTCAAAATGTGATCCGTTAACCATCCGAAACTCACCTGAGGCCCCCGGGACCTCAACCAAATATACAAATAAGTCCCAAAACATCATACGAACTTAGTCGAGGCCTCAAATCACATCAAGCAATGCTAAAAACATGAATCATACCCCAATTCTAGCTTAATAAAACAAAAAAATTTCAACTTCTACATTTGATGCCGAAACCTATCAAATCAAGTCCGATAAATCTCATATTTTGCACACATGTCATAAATGACCCCGATATCAAAAAGTTAACTCCCTGATCAAACTTCTAAGCTTAAATTGGTATCTTAGCCATTTCAAGCCTAATTTAACTACAGACTTTCAAATAATTTTTCGGACACGCTCCTATGTCCAAAATCTCCATACGGAGCTATTGGAATCATGAAAATTCTATTCCGGGGTTGTTTATACATAAGTCAATATCCGGCCAACCTTTTCAACTTAAGTTTACATCTTGGAGACTAAGTGTCTCAATTCATTTCAAAACCCCATCGGACCTGAACCAATTACCCCGAGAAGTCATATAACAATTGTAAAGCATAAATTTAGTAGTAAATAGGGAATCAGGACTGTAATACTCAAAACGACCGGCCGGGTCGTTACACTTTCACTCTTCACTAAAAGACAAAATCTGATAACTAACTCTATAGGACTAAAACTAAATATCAAGGGATAATTATGTGGGTTCAATTGTAAATACATAAAGGTATAAAATAAACCATAAGAGGACTAAAGTGTAACACCCCGAAACTTATAATCTCTCGCCTATTTAACTAATTATAATGGCAAGTTACAACTCCGCAAGCACCACATACAATCTTCTAAGCCTCTTCTTTTCTAAAGCATATTAGTTCTCCCTTGTTGAAATCTTCCTTGTCCTTAAGGAAAGAAAGATGGGAAGCGTATCTTTAGAGCTGATTAATCCTCCCATATTGCCAATTCTGATGGTAACTCCTTCCATTTAACTAACACATGCGCCATTGCCTTGTTTCCCTTTTGAATCATCCTTCTATCCACTATTTTCTCTGGTTGTGGGTAATAGGGGTTGGATAACTTGATGATAGGAGGGTGTGTTATAGTAGCAGGAAATTCATGACAGAGTTTCAGTTGGGATACATGGAATGTTGGGTGCAGCAGGAGCTGGAGCTGGGCAGGAAGAGACAATCTATATGCCATTTATCTTATTTTCTATAGCACATGGTAAGGTCCATATTACCTTGCTGATAACTTAGTAAATAAAAGTTGCTTGTATGGTTGGATTTTCAGTTAAACCCAATCCCCCTCCTTGAATTACCTGTCACACTTGTGTTTGTTAGCTTGCTCTTCCATCCTTTGCTGGGCTCTTTTGAGGTGGTACTTCAACAGTTGTGTCTTGAACTCCCTAGTCAATAGGTTTCTATCCACTTCTTCTACCTGAGAACCTCCAGCCATGCATGGTAGGTGTATTGGGGGTGGTTGCCCATAGAGGGCCTCATATTGTGTACTCTGTATAGAGGTGTGGAAGGTTGTATTGTACCACCATTCTGCTGATGCTAAAAATTGAGACCAATCTGATTGTGAATCCGAATAAAGCACCTTAAGTATGTCTCTAGGAACCTATTCAATACCTATGTTTGCCCATCTGTTTGAGGGTGATAGGTAGTAGAGGTATTGAGTGTTACTCCCATCATAGAGAACAACTCATGCCAAACTTTACTGGTAAAGATTGGATCTCTGTCACTAATGATATCTTCAGGTACCCCATCTAACTTATAGATGTTTTTCATAAAACGTTTTGCAACATCATTGTCAGAATAAAGATAAGAGAGACCAGTGAAATGAGCATACTTAGTGAGTCGATCCACCACCATCCAAATCACCGTCTTTCCTTTAGATTTAGGCAGTCCATCTATGAAGTCCATACTAATACTACTCTATGCTGCTACTGGTATTTTGAGTGGTTGCAGCAATCCAGGATAAGGTGCATTCTCACACTTGTGTCTCTGGAAAACATCACATGCCTTGACTTGTTCTTGGACTTCCTCCTTCATGTTCTTCTAATATAAGAGAGAAGCTACCTTCTTGTAAGTTTTCTCTATCCCTGAGTGTCCTCCCACTGTTGAACTATGCCATAGCTGTAGGATATCCTTTCTAAGTTAAGGATTGGGTCCTACCACTAGTTTTCATTTCATTTTGAGTTGGCCATGGATAAAGGTATATCCCTTAGTATCAGTTCCTCCAAGTTGTATTGACTGAATGAATGCCTTCAGTCCTTCATCAAGCTCCCAGCTTTGAATAGTCATTTATAGCAAATCAGTTCTCACAGTGGATAGTGTCATTGCAGCAAGTTGAATCAATGGAATTCTAGACAAGGCATCTACTACCTTGTTCTCCTTCACTTTGTTATACTCAACTTCAAAGTCATATTGCATCAGTTTGGTGATCCATTTGAGCTAAGTTCCAATGTGTAGTTTCTGTTCTACGAGGAATTTTAGGGCCCTTTGGTCTATTTTAACAATGAAGGGCCTTACTGTCAAGTATTAAGACCATTTGTTGACTGCCATCACTAATGCCAACAATTCTTTGTCATATACTATACCTGTTAATCGGGCCGGGCTGACTCGTTTACAATCCGGTTCAGCCCGGGTCAGCTAGTACTGTAGCATTGGGGGCGGGTTGGGATGGGTTGGGCAGGGAGCGGGTTTCAAATGAACCATTTTTTGATAATGGTGCACCGGAACCCACTAAGCCCGCTCACCCGTTAACGGGTTTTTAACGGTCTACAACCCGGTTCAACCCGGTATCCTTTATAATTTTATTTTTTATTTTTTATTTTCTGGACCGTTGCCAACGGTCAAATTCAAAGAACCTCATGTTGACATGGATGAACTTACAAAAATGATGCAAAGCATGTGATGTACTATTTCTTATTTTTTTATAATTGTTGTAAACTTTTAATTTGCAAGTTCAAAAATAAAACAATCAAAAAAGAACTTGCAACTTAATTTGAAGTATTATATATTATTCAATGAAAATATCAAATGAAAGCCTTTGGAGCTTGATCCTTACATATTGCCTATTGGTCTTATTAAATAATATTTTGTAGCCACTTACTT